GGTGAAGCCAGCTCCACCCAACCTCCCCCTCTCCACAGGGCTGATCTCCAGTGAAAAGAGGGTGGGAAAGAAAACAAAAACTCAAAACCAATGACACAGAAACCAAGTTAATCATCAAAGTGTGTGTGGGGGGATCCTTCCTGGCCTCAGCAGGCAACCAGCAGAAGCCTTGAAACGCAGCTTTAATTAATTAATTAGAAACAATATGAACATGGTGCAACAAGCCCTGTGAGCATGCAGGATCCTCTGCACAGTGGTGCAACGTGTTGATGGCTGCACAATCCCAAATTCTGGGGTCCAAGGCTGCTCCAAAGCCTGGCCTCTGCTCCTGTGGTGCTCCCCTAATTCCCAGCCTGTGCTTTAAATGAGTAAATTCACCCTTTTTGATCTGACATTGGCCTTTGACTCAGCCTCCCCTCTGTCTGTCCTCTAATTTTATGCTGAGCTGTGGTTTTGCCCTTCAGCCTGTCCAGACTCAGCAGAAGCCCTGGGAAGGGGTTGTCCCCCAGGCTGCACAAATCCTCTGTGCTGTCACTCCCCTAGCGCTGCTGCGGCGCCTCGCCCGGTATCGCTCTTACACAACGGGGCTCTCGTGTCCTGCCTGCAACTTCTTCCAATAATTAACATTCCCCATGGTCCTGCTCATAGCCTGCAGGCCTGGTTTGAGCCCTGGAAGGGTGTTTGGCCTGTGTGGTACCCTGGAGGAGCTCCTTGGATGATCCCAGCACCCGAAAAGTCCAAGTCTTGCTGTAGGAAGCCAATTCCTGAGCAGGACTTGAGCAGAACTGAACCGAATTCATCCCCCAAATTACCGAGTCCTGCTGGTTCATCTTTCCTTCCCTTCATCCCCCAATGTAAGACACACAGCTGATGGTCAAATCATCACAAACATCTCAGCTTCAATTTATGCCCTATAAATCGAGCCTACCTCGTCTAAATTGAGTCCATCTCATCCAAATTGAGTCCATCTCATCCAAATTGAGTCCATCTCACATCAGCTCTGCATGGGGAAGAGAAAGCTCCAGGGAAACCTCACTGTGGCTTCCCAGCATTAAGGAGGTTTATAAAAAGTGGGGAGAGGAACTTTTTAGATGGGTGATAACAACAGGACAGTGGTTTTACACTGAAAGGAGGCAGGGTTGGAACTGATGTTTGGAAGAAATTCTTTACTCAGAGGGTGGGCAGGTCCTGGCACAGAGTGCCCACAGGAGCTGGGGCTGCCCCTGGATCCCTGGAAGTGCCCAAGGCCAGGCTGGAAAAAGCTGGGATAGGGGAAGGCATCCCTGAAAACGAGAATGAGATGGGATTTAAGGGGATTTGGGGTCCCTTCCACCCCAAACCATGAAATCACAGCCCAGAGTCTCTGCAGAGCTGCCCTCTCTTCCAGGAGAGCCCCACTGACCCACCTGGATGTGCTGCTGCCTGAATCCAATCCCCGTGGGAGCAGCACAGAGCCCTGAACTTGTTTTGCCAGCTCTGCTGTCACCCTGGGAGCTGCTGCTTTCCTGCCCTGCCATTGCCCAATGTCCCCACACAGCTGCTGGCTTCAGCTCCCAGCGCTCCCGCAGCAGGAACACCCCGGCTGCACCTCGGCCTCGCGTTATCTGGGCCGGGGATTTATTTCAGGTAAAGGTGGAAGAAATGAGAAAGGGCTGGAAATATTCAGGATGTGCAGGGCACGGTGGATTAGTGGGCAGAGCACGGAGCAGGCAATTACCAGGCAGGTTCCCTGCTTGGCTCGGAGTTGTTGTGAGAAGCAGGGCCAGTGAATCATGGGCTGGTTGAGCTAATTCTCCCTGACTCCCCATGACTTCATCACTCGCTGCTGTTTAAAAACCTGCTCTGGAGCCTGCCTAAAGGAGTGCCCCGGGGTTGCCTTAACTGTTTCTGTTCTATTGGGTTTGAAGTGGACCCAGTTTCTTTCACTTTTTCATCCCGGGGAGATCGGTTTTCCAATGCCAACCGTGTGCAGCGATATTGTGGAGTGGAAACGTTTTGGTGAGAGCGATAAAACACCCAAACTTTCTGGTACAGTGACAAAAGAAATGAAATTCCAAACAGCAACAGCAGCATCATGAAGTATTCATAAAAAAAGAGAGAAAGGATTTAGAGGGGTCACAACCATGAAGAATGAGAGGATGCAAAAGGTGAAAAATAAGAGGATGCGAAAGATGTAAGAGGAAGCAGAAAAGGCTGCACAGCAATTTCAGGTGGAAAAAACTTTCATTTTGCTGAAAAATTTGCCAGCTCCCCAGTGCATGCCTCAGTTTCCCTAATTGCTACGTGAGGTTACCAGCCCAGACCTATTTTGCAAAGGTGTTGTCAGATTTAATTTGCGAACCTTTGAAAAGCTGTGCCGAGTCCTGGAGATGAAAGGGCCTCGCAGATGCCACCCGTGGGTGTGTGCTCTGAGTCACAGCCAGGGACCTGTGTGCTGGGACAGCACCCGCCAGGGGACTCCTCCTGTGCAGGAACCAGAGCAAAAATCCCAGGGGATGCTCCTACAAACATGAACTCATGCCGGAGGCAGCAGGAGCCACCTCTGGGAGGGGAAAAGATAAGGAGATGTCCAGGCTGGGCTGTGTTTTGGCTCTGAAATTGCCTGGAAAATGTGTGTGTGCACAAATTGGCACCTGGAATATGAGGTCCCCAACACAAGGAGGACGTGGAAGTGTTGCAGCAGGTCCAGAGGGGCTGGAGACAGGCTGAGAGTTGGGAATGTGCAGGCTGGAGAGGAGAAGGATGTGTGGAGAGCTCACAGCACCTCCCAGGATCTGAAGGGGCTCCAGGGAAGCTGGAGAGGGACTCTGGATCAGGAAGTGGAAGAGGGGAAATGGATTCAAACTGCAAGAGGGGAAGTTTGGGTTGGATGTTAGGAAGGGATTGTTCCCTGTGAGGGTGGGCAGGCCCTGGCACAGGGTGCCCAGAGCAGCTGGGGCTGCCCCTGGATCCCTGGCAGTGCCCCAGGCCAGGCTGGATGGAGCTGGGAGCAGCCTGGGACAGTGGGAGGTGTCCCTGCCATGGCGGGGTGGCACTGGATGGGCTTTAAGGGCCCTTCCAACCCATCCCAGAGATCCTGGGATTTACTCTGGATTTGCATCAGTAAAACCAAGATCTAAAAACTCAATCCTTCACCTTTTATCTGCCTCACCTGCACCAAAATCTTAACAAAGCACCAGGAAAACAAACAAAGGCCACCTTTGTCCAAGGCAGACCTTTTCCTCGGGATGTTTTCTGTTCCTCAAGGATTAACCTTGGCTGGAACAGCTCTGCTGAGCCTCCTCAGTACATGTGAGAACAGGAGCCTCCACCCTGCAGTATTTTTAATTACTTGGAGACTTACAGGACTGTTGATGTTCTAAAGAACAGCTCAGCCCAGCAAGCCAGGGGGAAAGAAATGCATTGATGTCAGTCAAATTTTTCCTTTATGAAATCGAGTCTTAGAAAACGGCATTGCCCTTTCCTGCGCCGGGGAATGAATTCTGACTCATGAAAGGCCGTGGGACTATTAATAAAAAATTATTAATGAAAGAAATGCCCTTTCCCAACAACTATTATCCAAAAAATGCAGAATGCCGAGGCATTTTTCATAAAGAGAGAGTCATGAAGACATGCAGGCAGTGAGAGGGGCTGGATCTATGAGCCAGGGGCCCAGAAAAAGAATTTAATTTTATTTTTTCTTTCATTTTGCACAGACAAGACTTTTAGAAACCGCATTTTTAAGACAGGTTCTTTCTTTCTCCTATCAGATCCAGAATTTATGCTGGTCCTGCTTTGCCTCTGTTTCCTCCACACCTCAAAAAAAGGCTGGAAAATGCAGAGCTGGATTTTCACTCAAATCCCTTCCTGGTGGATGTTTAGGGAGATTTTTTACAGGTAAAAAACACCTTCTCCAGCAGCACCACCGGGGCGTTCTGAGAAAACCCAATCATGCACAAATCTCTGGCGTGGTTAATTTGCACCCTGGGCATTCATCTCAGAGAAATCTCACTGAAATTCTGAGTGTAATCTGAAGGGATGTGAAAGGAAGATCAACCTCATCCTTTAGAAATCGCTGGAATCCACCAGTGCCCATAAAGAGCTTTTTTTCCTCCTGAAATCGTCTGTGATTCCAACAAGTGAACATTTCCCAGGAATTCAGCTGCTGGAGACAGATAATTTTTAACTTTTTCACTTCTTTTCCCTGGCAAGAGATATTTTAACCATCTAAGCTGCAAAATGGTTCCTCTTCCAGATGTGTTCCAGTTCCGAGGACATTTATGGGAAGAGCTACATAGGATACACCTGAACCTTTATCTCCAAGCACACAATGGGGGTTTTATTTCACCACTCACCTTCTGGAGATTCTGTGGCCTGTGGGAAAAGCAGGGCCAGCCAATTTTTACTTCTTCTGATCTGTGGCTGGGTTATTTCCAGGTCTAGATGGACAGACCTTGCACAAACCCAAAATAAAATCAAAATAAAGATAATAGGGCCATTTAAACCCAGAATTAACCATTAATTTCTCCTCCCTCCCGAATGCAGCAAGCCCTGGGGAGAGCCTGCTTGAAGAATGCTTTATTCTAGGCGTTCATTTTAATTACAACCCTAATTATTTTGGTGCATGGCTATGACCCAGTTAACAAACCCACCTTGGGCATCTCATGGTCTCCCTGACCCTGCCCATCTCTGCAAGGAGGGAACCTCAGCTGCTGGCCAAATTATTTTTGAAACAAGCGGTGGAACTGGTTGCTACATCTTAATGAAAATGACTTTTTTTTTTTTTTTTTTTTTTT